CCCTTGGCTTCCCCCATCACGGGAGTAAGCAAGCCTCCTGCTCGCTTCAGCTGCCTGGCTGCCGGCCACCATCTTGGTTGGCGGTTAATTTGCATATGTCAGTGATTAGCCAATGGGAAGCGTAGCAGAGGTACGGTTAATTTCAATCTTTGTCTATTATTAGATCGGACACTAGAGACCGGAAGCATGAAATCTGTGCAGGGGGGGACCCTTCAGCCCGGCCTATACCCTCTCATAATCTGGGACCTTTTAGGGGATGTGCGACTGCCTGTTTAGGCCCAATCCGATCCCTGAGGATCAGGCCTAAACCGGCTGTCAGACATCCCTCTCGCAATCTGGGACCGCTGGTTCCTAACTGCTCACCTGCCTGCCTTATTGCCCCTAACCACTCTGCCTACCTGTCTGATTACCCCTAACCGCTCGCCTGTCTGCCTGATCACTCCTAACCGTTCCCTGGAGGTCAGGGACAGCCTGGGCAAGGGGCGGTGGTGTTCTGCACTTTCCAACCAGGAATGTTTTAAGAGGTAGTCTCCAAAAACTTGAACTGGAAAACCTAAAAGTAGAGTGCTCAGATTTCAGGCATCAGGTGCTATTAGCAGGATTTCTATCCCAATCAAACTATAATTCTCAGTTGTCAACAGTCTGGACAAACTGCCCCTCACTATCTCCAAAGTTTCTTCTTCATCACTATCCCATTTTCCTCCACTTCAAACCAAGGCAACAAATGAAACCTTTAATTCTGCTCTCATTTTCCTCCATTTCAAACAAGGTAACAAACAAAAACTTTAATTCTGATCTTCCTTGCATGCAAGGGAACAGTAAACCTCAATCGAAATAATTTCCCACCAACAGTAATGTCCAAATACTATGAGACAGGACTATAGGGCTGACTATGTACTTGCACAATAATAGGCTACCATAGTCTAGTGGTAGGTGCCCAGGTATCCTCCACAATCCCACAATCCTCTGGTTGCATACTTCTGGTTTTTCTAGCTCCTCCTTAAGTGGTGTTTCCTTCAGTCGCGTTGCAATGATCCAGGGCCTCTTGTTGGAGAGGATTTTTCTGTTCTTTGACATTGATAGCTGTTTACTATTTGAAATCAGTGAAGTTTTGGGAGTACTGCCACTGCCATGAACATGTTGGTCCCAAGCACATTCATGAAACAACCTCCCATTCAGTCCATGGCTGTCGCCGTCCCGGTTCGCAATGAGAAAGGTACTTTGCTGAGCCATTTTCCACTCAGATCTTCCTCTTCCTTCCCCAGCACATGCCAAACCTACTCCGAGCCAACCACCACAATGCCACAGACCCTTAAGACCTTCCCCCCTATTTCTTTGACTTTCCCCCATCAAACTCGCACCCTACTACATTGCCTAGGGGTGCCCCTAACCACTCCCTGGGGAGTGGGCCAGCCTGGGCAAGGGGACATGGTGTTCTGGTCTCTGTTCATTCTGGTCGTTCCACCATTTCCATCGCTGGGTTTTTATTATATAGGATAGTGACAGAGAACAGAAATAATCAGGAAAACATTTACATAGGCAATTCACCTGAGGGGAAAAAATACCTGTTAAAAACCTAGGAAAATTCTCATTGTCTTCATATAATCATATCCAGAAACTAAACTGCACTAAGTCATGGCATCCTCACTCTCAATACAATTCACATTCGAAATCCAGTCTACTGGAAGAGGACTACCTTTGAACTCAATAAATCTTATACTATAAAAGGCCTAACTAAAATATATCAAGTCTTCTGTTTATTTAACAAAAAGAAAAGTTATGTCCTTGCAGAGGCATAGTCTGCACTTTCTACTCTCTCAACCTCATCTCACTTCTGCCTGCTCTGTGCAAGCAAATACCTGGTCACACCAAGCTTTGAGAAGGAAATTTCACACTATACAACCACAAAGATCCTTCCTGTGTCTCAGTAACTTCCAAAGAGGGACACACACCCACACTTTCCCATCTGCCCACAGACGGCTGCTGACGGTGATGCCATGGAGGGAAGATAGAAATCACAATTTATAAAATCAAAATCCCTGTAAACCACGTTTGCAAAGTCTCTGCTGAATGTGCATATTCACATGTAGCAATTCATGTGCCACATACACTGATGACAGTTAATAATATCTAGCACACAGTACTTATTATACACTTGAGTGCTCTTTGTGAATTAACGTGTTCAGCACAAAATACCACCATGAGGTGATTATCATTATCACAGACATTATACAGGTGATAAAACTGAGTCCAGTGATGGTATAGAACCTGCCCAAGAGCATATAACAAGCAGATGGTTGAACCACATGTCTAGCTCCAGTCCATACTCTTAACCAGGGGTGGGCAAACTTTTTGACTCGAGGGCCACAATGGGTTCTTAAACTGAACTGGAGGGCTGGAACAAAAGCATGGATGGAATGTTTGTGTGAACTAATATAAATTCAAAGTAAACATCATTACATAAAAGGGTACGGTCTTCTTTTTTTTTTTTTTTAGTTTTATTCATTTCAAATCGGCCGGATCCGGCCCGCGGGCCGTAGTTTGCCCATGGCTGCTCTTAACCATTGTGCCACATACAAGGTCCTCATGACAAGTCCTTAAGAAAGACCACTCTCTTCACATTTTTCCTTTCTATTTTCCTCCATCTACCCAAAAATAAAATAAAATACACAGTTCATATTTGAGTGGTCAATTCAAATGACCCCTTTGTGGACCTCGCATCTTGGATTTTCACTTACTTGCACCTAGAAATATACCATCACCAATTTCTTTGTACAACACCTTCCTTTCCATCAGCTAAACAGATAGCCTCTATCTCCTCTAACCATTGCAGAGTCTCTCAGTCAGGCCACACCTGACAGACAAAATCTGTCCACTCTGTTTCCTGAAAATACTCATATACTTATTGCAGGAAATACAAATTTTACAACCATTAAGTGTATCAGGATAGGCAATATAAGGTAGGGAGGAGGGTAAGAAGCTTAGGTAGGCATGGCCATCCATCAGAAGAGGCCTATGAAAGGTTGAAAGTCTAGAATTTCCATTCTAAACATTAAAAACTACATAATAATTTTTAAAATTATTTTAAACACCTACCACAATGATTAAAAAAAAAAAAGGAAAACCAACACCTAGGAGTTCCCACCACACTAAGTCCATCAGCTCTTCAATGGCTGGGCAGCCATGTACATCAAACAGGCAAAGAACTTCTAGAGAGAGGGTGGCTTTTCCTTTTACAAAGAGTGACTTTAGCCCTAGCCGGTTTGTCTCAATGAATAGAGCGTCAGCGCGCAGACTGAAGGGTCTTGGGTTCGATTCTGGTCAAGGGCATGTACTTTGATTGCAGGCTCAATCCCCAGACTGGGTCGGGCAAGCAACCAATCAATATATCTCTGTCACATCGATGTTTCTCTATTTCTCCCTCTTCCTTCCACTCTCTGAAATTCAATGGAGGAAATATCATCAGGTGAGGATTAACAGGGAGGTAGGGGGGGAGACAGACTTTAGATGATGACTTTTTAATGGCTAGGCAAAATGATACCTTTTATTTTTAATTCTGTCAAGGAACATAATTCCTATAATCTCTGGATTCTACTGTTTCCTATGTGCCAAAAAGCTTCCCAACTTCATTTAAAACCAAAGGCAAAACATAGCATAGGGGGTTTCCTGTAGAAAAATAACACCTTGTACACACATTTTCTGATTGAAGACTTAAAAAGCATCATCAGCAAATGGAATTGATTCCATTTATAGGTTGGAAACTCAGGGCATGGTTGAACTAAGGCTGGCATAATCTACACCACAGACTAACTTTTCTTAAGGAAGTCACACATATAAATTCCTTTCTTTCCCTTTCACCACCAAGACAAAACGTATATTAACTGCTATTCCTAAAACCAAGTATCTATAAAGAGTAATTAACTGAACTAGAAGAGCTAGCAATTTTTATCATTCCAAAAATGTACAGACTGCTTTTTTTTCAAAGCAAATATATAAATCATGACCTTAAATTTTTACAATTCAATGTATGATGTATAAATGACAACAGTGAACGCAAACAGTCAATCATAAAACCTGCTCTTCCAATGTATTTGTGAGGGTTAGGGAATTTTAGACACAAGGTTAAAAGTAGCATCTAGACCACAATCCACCCTAAACTTAAAGTAACATTTTGAAATAACCACTAGTTACTCTGGACTTGACTCCGTGGAGGGAGAGATGACACACACAGTCAAGTATAAGAAAAGATACAATCTATATAAAATGAAGGGGAGCTTTGCAATCTGAATATTTCAAGGGGTGTGCTGCAAGAATCTTTAAAACATACAATACCTGACTATTTAGTCAGGGGCAATGACTGCTTTTCCCTTAGGTTGTCAAATAAAATAATGACAACAACCAACACAATAGCCATCTGCTGTGAATGAATCAAAATTATACCTATTTTTTTTGTCATATTGGCAAAAAGTATATTTTTTCGTGTGCCACAGAATTTTAGCAATTAGTTTATGTATGCCATGGGATGAAAAGGAAGAAAACTGCTGCAGTACACTAACAAAACCCCAAGAATTCAGGTTCCAGTTCACACATTCTGCCTTAGACGACAGGATTCCTAAATATTTACATTAACTACCAATGGGGGGGGGGGGGCAAAAAAAGTATTAAAAGTTATTATTTTGTAGTTATTACATATTTGGCAACATTGTGAAATGTATGCCCCTAACTTCCCCACCAGTTGATCAATTACACAGCCCTCCACCTGTAATACAGGCTACCACAGACCAGCCCTAACTAAGCCTAGCCTGACTGGTCAACCCTCCATCTACACTAAGTCCCTGGTGGATTTCACTAGTAGAGTGTGATCACAACCAAATAAAATGCGGCTATGAGTCTTCAGTTCAGTAAAACAAGATGTTTAGCACATTAAAAATTAGAGTAGATTAGTAATAATGAAATTTGCCTTAAGTTTACCCTGAACTAAGGTTCTCTTTTCCACTGGCCTGGAAAATTAAAGCTACATGCTGTGCACACAGCTGCCACACCACACCAATGTAACATGCAAAGAGGAAGCCAGCAGCACAGTCATCTGAGAAAGGAGCCAGGGACAAAGGACCCCTTCAAGAGCATGTTGCCTGCTGATCTTCAACATCAAGCTCCCACGCTGCTGGGTCTTACCAGAGGTGAGGGTGATGGACAAGTTACACAACACAGCTAAAAGACTGGGTGCTGTCACTTCCAACCACACAGTCATAGAATTTTGCTCCACAAACAGAGATGAAAGATGATGCCAGATGTATGACCATACACAATGTTTGGAAGCTTGGATAACATTACACATTCCAATATATATTTACTGGTGTGGTTTAACACATCCTGAGCTTCCCTTCTCTAGTGATAATGCAGTTCTCAAATTGAGGCAGAGCAATATGTTAGACACTCACCAAAGTGTCTTTAAAAAGAGTGGTATACAAATTCCAGTACACTGGCAGACATACTTCTTATTCATGCTTGCTAACTGAACAACAAATCCAGTGACATCCAAGACACAGTGCTGATGATTACAAGAAAATTGAGGATAGAACTTAATACAGGTGCTATATCATGGAACTTTTTAAACAAAGGCACTCCATGTTGGCGAAAAATAAACTAACACCTGGTGCGATGCACCTCATATTTCAGATCCAAAGTACAGTTCAGTTAAGGATTTCAAATATCTACACATGGCTAAAATCCTTTTGATTTTCCACCATACTCAGTTCTTCATTAGATATAAACATCTAGATAGTTTCCAAAATGTAACTATAATTCTGTAGAAAGAGTAAACAGAAAGGACCAGACCAAGGAAATTTTCCTCCTTTCCCTAACCTCTCAAACTAACAGATTCTAAGAAAATGTCATTAATCTAGTCATCCAGGAAAACTTTAAGAATGTGAATGGAAAAGAAATAAAATGAAATATAAATTCTAAATGATAAAGGGGGGGAGACCACAACACATAAGATATGAAATAAAGCAGATAACTACCAAAAGGGTTTCTAAAACACCCAATTAAAAGCATCTACGCTAATAAAAGGGAAAGATGCAAATTGACCGTGCCTTTGTGACACCCACCAGCCAATCAGGAATGAGTATGCAAATTAACCCAACAAAGATGATGGGTTAATTTGCATATGCATGCAGGCACCAAGTGGCTGGGGGTGGGGCAGGACGTTGCATCATCACCATGGCAACAACGCAGGCATTCCGCACCGCCCCAGCCACTCCGGGCCTCTGGGCAGCATGGGAAGGTGGAAAAGTGGCTCTGGGTCTGAATGAAGCTGGAAAGGTGGCTCCCGACTGGAGCGAAGGCGGAAAGGCGGCTCCAGCCAGAGCGAAGACAGTGCCAGCAGCCAGGGGAAGGAAGGCCCATTCTTGCACGAATCTTCATGCATCGGGCCTCTAGTCATTATATAATGTCACTGCCATTGTTTGACCATGAAACCACAAACTCTTAGCTACACAGCCAACTTCCTTTTCCAACCATCTTAAGTTTATTTTTAAAGTAATTTTTTTAAAAAAACACACAAAAAACTGCTGGTAAACTCAAAGTTTTAAGAACCTATTCCACAACTACCAACCTGATTAAACATCATATGGATTTTGCTTTCCAGATGAGGGGGGAAATTTTCAGAGACACATTTAATTCTTCAAATTCTTAGAAACATTTCTGTTCAGGAATGGCAAAATACCATCTAATATACTCAAGAAATACTGCTGATAAGAATCTATTAAAATGAACACAAGACAGGTCCAGCTGGCATGGCTCAGTGGTTGAGCATCAACCTATGAACCAGGTAACGGTTTGATTCCCCGCCAGGGCTCATGCATGGATTATGGGCTTGATCCCCAGTAGGGGGTGTGCAGAAGGCAGCTAATCAGTGATTCTCTCTCATCATTAATGTTTCTCCCTCTCTCTCTCTCTCTCTCCCCCCACCCTCTAAAATTAATAAAAATATTTTTTTAAATGAATAGAAGAATTACACATTGGTGACTCTGGCCAATTTTTATGATAATAACATGTTTTATTTGGCCCATACCATTTTTTGTGTGTATTTATTTTTAGATATAATTAGTGGACTATATTTTGAAACCAGGACGTTTAATATAAAAATTCAGAACTCTGACTCCTCTACGAAAAATCAGGAGATTGCATGAATGGGCCCAAGTTTGTTTCCATGTGGCAAAAACTGGCACCTAGTTTGCAGTCCCTGATTTAAGGCACCAATATTTTCAGCCTTGGGTACTAACCTTTTCCTCGACGGCCCTTCTTCAAAATCTGAAGAACTAACATCGTTGCTAGTAGAGGACACTTGGGATGCATCATCCTTCTCATTCTCTGACTGTTCTGATGCTGGTCCTAATCCCTTAGACTGGCCATTACCAAGGAGCCCTACAGGTGAGAAAAGGGGACAAACACTTAAACACATGACATCAGGAAGCAGCAATTTACCACAGTTAACCCTACACAATGACTTGTGGTGGATAGAAAATAATTTAAAGGCACATATCTCTTTTGAATTGGGGGTGGGGGGGGGATCATACCTCATCTACTTTGAACCTTTTACAGGAGTGAATGCCTAACAAATAAACAATTGTAATAGTAAAAAAAATTCAAGCAGAAAATTTTAATTATAATAATATACTGAAGGGGTTTTTTTTAAGTACATAAATATCTTTTAGGGCTAGGGATGGAAGAGAAGAAAGGCATCTGAAGTATTACCAATTCAAACTAGTTAATCTTCAAGGGCTAAATATTTACTCTAGAAATACTGAAGTCCTTTTTGGAATTGCCTTCAGGGACTAGTACCTGCCATATAAGAAAAAATGTCATTATTTTATAGCCATATCTTAGTTATTAACTAGAAATCCTACTACCCAACTTCCTCTTCATAGCAATCCATTATATTAGACAGTCACCGTATTTGCCTTCGACTGTCTTAAAGGTCAGGACTATCTATGACTACATTTATAGCACCATGTAGAAGAGGGAGTCATGGAGGCCCAGCATGTGTAACTATACTGGAGAACATTCCTAGGGAAGGGTTATGCCAAGTAATATGGAAGTATTTAGCAAGCAGTAAGGCCACATTAATGAGTGACAGTTGAATAAAAGCCTGATGGGTATTCTAGCATTCAAATGTCCTTGCATCTAAGATTTTTGATACAACTTAGATTCTACCCATGGGGAAGCTTGTACCAAAAAAATGTCCACAGCAACTGACCCCCAATTTCACAGTCTAGTCACCAGCCTCAGTAGCATCAGCAGGA